GGGGTGGAGGGACAAAAAACAACAATTCCCCCCCTTTCTCTGCCTCGTAAAACACTGAACCTCTTGCTCGGAGGCTTTCCTGAGCCGCAGGGCACCTGTGCGGCCCCAATTTGGTGCCTCCCCCTGAAACAGAGGGGAGCGGGTCTGGTGGCTTCCCGAGCCTCACTTTCATCTACTTTTTTTTTTTTAAATCTCTTATTCTTTCATTTCAAAATCTTAGGTGGCCTGTAGTTAACAGGCACCTGGCACAGGGTGACGCAGGCCCTTTACTTCCCTCGCAAGGGTGTTTTTCTGCTTTTCTCAGGCTGAGACCTTGTGCTTTGCTTCTCTATTAGAGAACAGTCAGATGACTTCTACAGCGGTACCGGTCGGCATATCGGGAGCTTCCTGCTGTAACATCCAGTTCATGTGCCACTTCAGATCTTCCTTCATCTCTGTCAAGCGCGTTTTCAAGCGCGCTCCGTTGCGTGTAATGTATGATTTTTGGACCAGCTGCAGCATAGACTCATTGCTGCAGTTTACACTCCAGGGATGCCTGAAAGAAATTCCTTTTATTCTGTACCGTATCTTATGGCTGGGTCGTAGAGCAGGGCGGCTGCTGTTGTCACTCAGGTTTGTATTCCAAAATGTTTTTGATTACGTTGCACACCGTGATTTAGCAATCCTGCTCTGTTGCAGCCTGAACCAAGAGGAAGAACTTCATGATGTTTACTTTATGGGGGTCTTCGTGTATCTTGGAAGCACTGAGAAAAGGAGTAAAACTCCCATGTCGAGGGCAATGGGGGGCAGACACTGGTGTTGTAATTCCTGTTGTGAAAAAGCATCTTTAATAGGCATATTTAATGAATACTGTGCTCGTTTGTAATTATTTTGATCATTCCTTTAAACTGCATCCGGTGATGAGGTGTTTTATGATAAACTTCAGAATTATTTGACCTATGTAGGCTTGTTTGTGTCACTGCTCATGTAAATTACTGACATCATCCAAAACGCTGCATCATGGAACTGAGGTTGCAGAAAACGTGCTCTCCAGTAGGGACTCATCTACCTTTTCTGGCAAAACGTTTGTTGTGACTGACTTGAAGTTTTCCCATGTCTTTCTGCTACAGTTTAGCTAGGACCAAAGGACTGGTCCTTTAGGTAATTGCTTGAGACAAGCATAGTCTTATATAATTTTAAGAGGGTTACGCTGTCACTTTTTATTGCTAATGGACCCCCTAACTGAAAAGGATAGAAAAAAGGCCAAGTTTATTTTAATGCCTCTCCGCACCTCCACCTTACTGTTACTTGGGGCAGTGGACCCGGGATCAAAGTTAACTGTACAGGAAGATAGCGTTCTAAAATAAATTGTTCTGTCTGATGTTATATGTGAATTCTACCTGGAATTTTTTTTTTTTAATTTGGTAGGGACTGAAAGGAAAATACCACTCAACTAAAGTTGAATGTAATTGCAAGGCTCTTGTAGGTTGGATTATCTTCTTATATTGAAGCATGATTAGATAAAATATACATATGTGAATAATTGTCTGCAAATGGCTGTATTTTAGAATTTAGTAACTTAACTTGTAACTTAAAAAGAGGAGAGACAAAAATATAACTGATACTGATGTTGGAGCCATAGAATATACTTTAACTTCCCGAAACTATTTTTTCCGTTACTCTCAGCACCGTTCATCCTTCTCTCACTGAAATTTTCTCAGCGTTTACTTTGTAAAAGCAGCAGAAGTTGTCATTCGCTATAGCCCATAGTAAAAATCTTTAGGAGAAAATTCCTATTTTGTGTGTCTAAATTTTAGCACAAGCGATACAGTAAAACCTTGATA